AGACCTTTCCCTTTATGTGTTCCAGCATCAGCAAAGCCGAAGGCCTATTTGAAATAGACAAAGGGAATTCAATTTTTGCTACTTCTTCTTTACACTGTTTTCTTAGTTCCTAATCTTCTGACTCAAGACCCTCAGATTGTCCTAAACTCCTTCTGTGAGACCCCACCTGGTCCTTTTCTATGTCCCCAAATTCCTGTGTTATGCAAAATGAATTCCTCCTGCTCCCAAAATTCCCAACACGATATCAATGTTAAAACATTCAGGGTAAACTAATTTATACTAATGTTTGATTGGTAGTCCCATAATCATGAGCTATTTGCATCTTTAAGAAAGATGACTATTGACAAAATTAATGCCTAATTAGAAAATAGGACAGTAGTTATTAGGTATCAAGTCAATATCAGCTTATTTTGTTTTTAATTGGTGGAATGAGAAAAGAATAATTGGGTTTCTACGGGGTCTGCTTCTCTAAACTGACCTAATTTTTTCTAGATTCATTCTCTCCTCAAATTCTGCCACCATCGCTTCCCTACCAACTGCACATATTTTTGGTTTGTTTTTACCCAGAAAGGTTCTCATCACAGCAGGGCCTCTGGCAACAGGGACAAAGATGTTGATGTGGGGAGGGATACAATTTGGGCTTATGGGCATTATTAATGAGCGGTGAGCACGCCTATCATCTGAATATTGGTTAAAAAAGCAAACCTACCTTGTTACTGCCGCATAAAAGCCTGACCCAGAGTGAAAAACATTCCACTTAATATTACTCCCATTTACAAAGCCAAGCTAGATATGGGTAGAACTTGAAATATGTCAGGATATGGGGGGGGGGGGGGGGAAATAGTTGTCCAAACTTTTATAAATATGTGACAAAACTGATTTCCCTGGAGAAGCCCCAAATTTCTAAGGGACTTGATAGGAGGCACAGGGGTCCACACGCAGCATGTAGACCACATGTGTCAAACACAAGGCCCGTGGGCCAAATCCGTCCCGCCAGGCCTTGCAATGTGGCCCGCACAGCGCTGTCATCACTGCACTCCGCTGCGTTTCCATCACAATGACAGTTTATGACTGTTCAGTAAACCATTTGGCCCGCAATTTAGGCTGGATTTTAGATTTTGGCCCCTTCTCTGATTGAGTTCGACACCCCTAATGTAGACCATCGGAAAGAACTGTCACAAGGACCCCAGTAGGAAGGAGGAAGCTTGAGCTGTGGGGCGTTAAATGTCACCTTCCTAGGGAACCAGTGCTGAGAACAGAATCGAAGTTCTGACACCCTCCCCCCCATGTACTTCCCTGCAGCTTTCCGGGGCCACCTCCAGGATATCTCAGCTTTCAGTCACCCCGTGGTTGGTACCAGGGAGCACAGATGTGCACAAAAGCACTTTTTAAATTGCCAGCATTTGCATTTGTTTTTGTTTATTTGACTTTCCAACGTGAGTAGATGAGTCGTTCTCATTTCCAACCTGGTAATGTAAAGAGCTTCATCGTCTCTGGCTGAGCCAATTCTGAAATTGGGCTGATTCTTGCTACCAACAATGCAGCTGGGATGAACTAAATTTCAGATCCACCCTGCCCCTCCCTCACTACATGAGGACTTCATGCAAATCACCCAACTTTCGTCAAACACAAGTTCCTATCTACAGAATGAAGATAATAATTTCAACCTGATAAAGTTGTTTTTATGATTTCACAGCAATGTTATCTCTCATGTAGATTATTGTAGCAGCTTCATATCAGGTCTCTGCTGTCCAACCTTAACCACCTTTCATCTGTTATCAACAGAGCAGCTGGAGTGTCCCTGTAAAAGCATAGGGCCTTTGCACTTGCTGTTTCTTCAGCTTGGAGATTCTTGCCTTGTAAGTATCCAAACTAATTGCTTCCTCACCGCCCTTTAGGTCCTAATTCAAAAGTTATCTTCTCAGCCAGGCTTTCTCTGGCTGCTCTATCTAAGCTTAGAAGCCATTCTCTTAATATTTCCTCTTGGTGCTTTATTTTCTCCTTATCATCAAATAACATATCCTACATTTACTAACTTGTGTTTTATTGTCTGTCTCTCCCACTAGAATATAAGCTCAATGTTAGCATTTTGTTCACTCATCCTATCTAATAAAGAGGGGATGTGCTAATTGACCCTCACACCATCACAAAGATGGTGGCACCCACAGCCAATAAAGAGGTATATGCTAATTGACTGCCACACCCTCAAAGATGGTGGCACCCACAGTCCCAAGTAATTCTAAGTTCAGCTAGGATGAACTTAGAATTTCAGATCCACAGTCCCCTCAGCCCCGCTGAGGTGGCAGGTTCATGGCAAGGCCAGGCCTATCACTCCACATGCCTGCCTCTGGAGTCCCCCAGACCCCTCAGCCCTCCAGCCGCCCAGGGTTGCCCGAGGCTCAGGTAACCAGGGCTGGCCAAGGTTTGCGCTGTTGGCAGTGGCAGCAGCAGAGATGTGATGGGGAGTCACTGTCCCCTGATCACGAGGTCTCCTCCTGTCCCTGAGGGCTCCCAGACTGTGAGGGAGCAGGCCAGGTTGAGGAACACTCCCCTCCAGGGCATGAATTTTCATGTACCAGGCCTCTAGTTAACTATAATATGACTCTATGGGGGAAAAACTCAAATTATCTGAACTATACTTTAAATCAGGTGTCCTCAAACTTTTTAAAGTGGGGGCCAGATCACAGTCCCTCAGAGAGCTGGAGGGCCGGACTATATGAACTACTAATTCCTACTGTAACACCTCGGCTGCGCTCACTGCCCAAAAAACCTGGCGGGCCGGATCAGACTCCTCTGCGGGCCGCATGTGGCCCGAGGGCCATAGTTTGAAGACCCCTGCAATCATCTATCCCCAGGAGAACCCTACAGCAATGCCTGGCACATAGTAGGAGCTTAATAAATGGTTGTTAAAATGATGACTGAATCTGAAAAATTATGATCATTGAAGCATGGAAAAGGAGGATGAGAAGGGGGGAAAGGAAAAAGAAAGATGTATGGAAAGGAAAAAAAAGAATCAGGTCAAAGATGCTCAGATTACAGTAATATAGAAAAAGAGGACCAAGCAGCAAAAGAAAGGAGGGGAAATCAGTGTATCATAACTGCAAAGCCTACAAAAGAAGCAAAAGGAAGCATAGGAAGGAAGGGCTATTCTTCATTGTTCACAGTATTCACACAATTCAGCTAGTTTTTTAAAATATGTTTTATTGGTTTGAGAGAGAGAAACATTGAGGAGTGAGAAACACTGATTGGCTGCCTCCTACACATCTGCCCCCTTACTGGGGATGAAGCCCAAAACCCTGGCATATGCCCTGACCAGGAATCAAAATGGTAACCTCTCAGTGCATGGGATGATTTTCCAACTGAGTCATACTGGCCAGGGCTCAGCTGCAGTTTTAGCATGACCTACCTGGGGTAGCACTAACCCCAGAACTGTGGGAATCGTCCCCTCTTCTATGAACCACAAGGTGAGCCATTCCCTCAAGGTAGTCGTGGACCTGTGAGAGGCCTAAAGAACATATAGTGACTGTAGGATGCCATTAGCCAATAGATCTGTTAACCAAAAACAGCACCAGGTATTAGAACTTGGTAACCCCTCCTGTACCTGGCCTATAGTTTCTACTCCGCTCATGTCTGTCTCACTGCCCACTATATCAGACCTCTCTCTTCTTCATCATGATCCATTCTCTTAGGAAACACGTGTGAATGTATATGTGATGCCGAGAATGTACGAGTCCCACTCGAGGGCATGATCACAAGCTGGAATGTGGACCTCCTCAATGCACACAAACGCCTACACAGACAAGCATACCTCCTTACTACACAGTCATGGAGTCCCAATCTTCCTGCAATACCAGGACCAGGGAATTCTACACTCTTCTCACTCAGATGCCAATCCCTGGAATCCTCTGGAACCAGAGGAATTTCCAGAAACTTCACCCTCTATTATGATTCTCACATTTCCCTCTCGGAAGCCTTTTCGCCCCCTCTAGTACTCCAGCCTTGCAAGAGCTATCTTGAGAGTCAGGTACCTTTTGCACTGAGATGAGCAGAGCATTCACTTTGCAACCTTCTTGGGGATTTTATTTATTATAGCTAGATAGAGCTTCTTCATCCTGAGGATTTAAAGCATGGTGGGAACTTCAGCTCAGAAATCAAAACAATTCTCCAGAGCTCCGAGCTAACTGTATTTGCATAACAATTTAACAGAATCCAAACAACAGGGCAAGGTCAGGTGAAATAAATTGCCAAGGTCATGCTTCTCTTGAATTGGTGATGAAATTCAGAATTGCTGATCTCCAGGGCTTGGCCCCTTGCTCTCCCAAATGATATTGTGGCATAAAATAAATTTACCGAATGTGTGAGAACCACGCACCTCCTCTTAAACGTTTCCCTTCCTTCTAATTCCAGATCTTGTAGATCACAGAGGAAAAGATGATATCATAACCCCACCGACCTCATGCATTAGCATACAAATGAAAGAATTTACTAGAAGCAGCGCTCTGGGGGACGCCTGGTCTAAAACCAGGAAATGCTGTTTGACTGGGTTTGAAACTCTCCAAGTAGGTTGAATCTCTTTAATTTCTTGATCAAAGGATTGCTTCACATTCACTGTTTCAATTCTGAGAATCTAAAACCATGGGGATCCTTAAACCCCGCAGAGGCCCACGTGCCAGAGAAGGAGGAATTGAGGGGATTACATGTGTACACGATCCTTGCTTTAATATCCTTAACTCAAAATACCTGTACACCAACACATTAGAGAGAAGCTCATTTAAAGTCACAGCCCCTTTGAACTTATCCCAGCGAACAAACTGGGTTTCAGATTGCTCGGGGCGCAGCTCCAGATTCAGAATCCTCCACGACTGGGGGAGCCCACGCCCTCCGAGGTAGCAGGGAATGTCGCAAGCTGGGGGCTCCAAGCCTTGGAGCGGGGAGAGGGGCCTCGCCAGGCGCGCAGGAAGCATCTGCCGGGAATCTCACCACCAGTGGGCGTTTAGCGCAGCCAAGCGTCAGGCTGGTGCCAGGGCTCAGCAACAGGGAGGCGCCGGCCGAGGCGGGGAGAACTTTGCGCTCCGAGCAGAGCCACCCTTTGCTGGCCAGTCGCGTCGCTCCTCGCTCCTCGGAGGAAGCCAGCGGCGGGCAGCGCCTGGGCGGAAAGAGGACGAAAGAAGAAAGAGAGGAAGTAGCGAGGGAAGTAGGAACATGAAGCCAGTGCCGGGGAAGCCCGCCAGGGGATGGCCCGCGGAGGAGCGCGGCGGGTTTGGCTGCTTCTCCGCATCCCGGCGGCCGTGAGCACCTGCTCCTCCCGCACGACCCCAAAGACATAAGTGCGTCTTGCTCGCTCGCCTCGGTGGAGAAGGAAGAGAAAAGAATCCAAGGGAGCTCATCACCCTCCTCGGTCTCCGCTGCCCCCCTAGGACTCCGGGGGGCCGGACTCAGAGCCGCCCTGCATGCAGATGGGGCGGGCGAGGATCGGGCGCCCCAGCCGCGGGTGAGCGGTACCGGCCCGCCTGGCTCCGCGCAGGGACTGGGCGGGCAGAGGATGCGAGGCGCTCGGACCCAGGAGCGGGATCTGAGAGCGGCGAGGGCGCGCTAGGCTGCCCCTCGGATGGCCCGGGGACCAGAGCTCCTGCTCCCGGGACGGCTTCTCCGCATCCAGTGAGCCAGCCGTGCGCGCGGGACCTGGGGGCGGAGACCTCAGGCGGCGGCGGCTGCAAAGGGGGGCCGGCCGGACGCAGGAGGGGGCGCGCTTTCTGCCCGCGGGTCTCAGTAATGAGGAGACTGAGTTTGTGGTGGCTGCTGAGCAGGGTCTGTCTGCTGCTGCCGCCGCCCTGCGCGCTGGTGCTGGCCGGGGTGCCCGGCTCCTCCTCGCACCCGCAGCCCTGCCAGATCCTCAAGCGCATCGGCCACGCGGTGAGGGTGGGCGCGGTGCACCTGCAGCCCTGGACCACGGCCCCCCGCGCTCCGGACGGCAGCCGGGCGGGCGCCCAGCGCGATGAGCCCGAGCCCGAGCCCGCGACGTGGCGGCCCCCGGCGGCGCCCTCGCCCGGGGCGCGCTGGCTGGGGGGCGCCTTGCACGGCCGGGGGCCGCCGGGCGTCCGGAAGCCCGGGGAGGGCGCAGGAGGGGCCAAGACCCTATGGCCTCGGGACGCCCTTCTCTTCGCCGTGGACAACCTGAACCGCGTGGAAGGGCTGCTGCCCTACAACCTGTCTCTGGAAGTGGTGATGGCCATCGAGGCGGGCCTGGGCGACCTGCCGCTCCTGCCTTTCTCCTCCCCGAGCTCGCCCTGGAGCAGTGACCCTTTCTCCTTCCTGCAGAGCGTGTGCCACACCGTGGTGGTGCAGGGGGTGTCGGCGCTGCTGGCCTTTCCCCAGAGCCAGGGCGAGATGATGGAGCTGGATCTGGTCAGCTCCGTCCTGCACATCCCGGTGATCAGCATCGTGCGCCAGGAGTTTCCGCGGGAGAGTCAGGTGAGGGCACCCGGGCTCGCGGAGTGGAGAGGGCGCCGCTGGGGCTGGGACCATCGCGGGGTTGGGGTTGGGGGAGGGGAGGGGTGTTGGGGGGGCTGAGGAAGAAAGGGGACAGGGAAGTCCTGAAGAACTTAGGGATTTACAACTTTGGTACTGTTTAAGGATTGGACCACATCGGCCGTTGGTAGGTAGAAGTAAAATGAAAACATTTCAAGCAAAAAATGGGGATAAGTGCCGGACGAAGTGGAAGTTTAAGTATAAGATCTAGGAGAGCAATCCGGGTTCTAATGACTAGCTTGGGGGCGGGGGTGAAAGGTGGGGGGAATGTGGGAAGGGCGATGGAGGATCCGTGGCTGCCAGAGTTTCACTCCCTTGAGGAATTCGGGAGCATGTGGCAGAAAGAGCAGCATCTGTTCTCTTTGACTTTAGATGTGCCTGAGCCATAGGCGGTGGTGTCAGGAAGGAAGCACGTCCCTCTGGATGCCTTTGAGTAAATAAGAAATCTGTAACTATCCCGAACCGGTTTGGCTCGGTGGATAGAGCATGGGCCTGTGGACTCAAACGTCCCAGGTTCGATTTCCGTCAGGGGCATTTGCCTTGGTTGTGGGCACATCCCCGGTGGGGGGTGTGCAGGAGGCAACTGATTGATGTTTCTAACTCTCTGTCCCTCTCCCTTCCTTTCTGTGAGGGATCCATAGAATAATATATATTTTTAAAGAAATCTGTAACTAGTACAGAAGCAATAGATAAAGAAGGGTGGTTAGTTAGGCTTGGTTATTATGTGATGGCATGAAATGGATGGGATGAGTCATTTGGGATCATGTCTTTGTCCCTATATTCTTTCTGTGAAATGTCAGGGGCATGTGCCTTGGTTGCCGGCACATCCCCATTGGGGGGGTGTGCAGGAGGCAGCTGATGGATGTTTCTAACTCTCTGTCTCTCTCTCTACTCTTCTGTGAGGGATCCATAGAATATATTTTTTTTTTAAAGAAAGAAATCTGTAACTAGTACAGAAGCAATAGATAAAGAAGGGTGGTTAGTTAGTCTTGGCTATTATGTTATGGCATGAAATGGATGGGATGAGTCATTTGGGATCATGTCTTTGTCCCTATCTTCCTTCTGTGCAATGTGGACTCAAAGGCTGGCAGTATGCAGATGCTCTCTTCAACCCACTTCTGCTCCAATTATCTAGAAATAAAGGAAGTTTCCTATAGGTTAAAAAAATCAAATATATTTTCAATGAAAGAAGCTGTTTGTAAACTTAGTTGTTGACAATAATGATGAGATAAATATTTAAGGAGAGGGTGGGGTTCTTTAAGCAATAGAAGTTGTATGCATTTTGTGCCTTATTTTTATCAAAATATCAAGGTTCATTAAGCCTTGCACAAAGTATTTATGAAACAAATAAATAGTTGGCATTGGTCCCATTGTAGAGGCTGAAAAACTAAGGAATGAGCAAGGACAGATATCAGAAGTTTGATAGAATCCATGCATAAAATATCAAGAAAGTACTAGATTTATTTTTCTAGAAGAATGAACCTTACATTTTTAATCTTAGAAAAGGCGGGCACTAGTTACTTTCAGCAGTTGCTCGGAAGATTCCTGTTTAATGCTGAATCAGAGAGATTTAATCTGCAGAGTGCAGGCTAATTAACTTTTATCTCAAATATTTCCGTCACCTGAATCTGAATGACTATAGGCAGCAGATGGGAAGGCATCGACAACACAGGTGCACAATGCTGCCAATGACCCAAGTGTTACAAACATGGAATTGCATCCATAGGGTGTATCATCATTAATATATGCGCAGCATCAGATCTAATGAAATGCAAGAGTCAGCATCACTTGTTTCTCTTCATTGCTTCTTTATTACCTAATATCTCATAAGGTGCCAATACTGCTCACAGTCTCCAGACGCCTCTCCATTTGTAGATTGTTTGGCAAAGAGTCTTAAATAGCAAGAATTTTTCCCCAAATTAGTGTTCCTTAGTTAGAAGGAAAACTGTCTGTGTTCCAGGATGGGTGTGTGCAGCATACAGCATACTACAACAAGGGACCAGAGCAACCGTGAGGCGGCATCTAACATCCGCAGACTGCAAAGGTTAAGACCCCTCAGGGGAACAGAGTCCTCTAGGGACAACCTCTACAAGCAGACAATAAAAGAACACTCGGCCACACACATTTACTTCTATATTTCAGTTCAGAAACTTTCTTTACATCACTGTTGTCCACTGTTATTTTCATGGCACACATCTTGAAAGGGAACGATTATGATATTAACTCATCTAGTTTGCCCAACTGAGGACATTTTATTTCATTTACCTTTGTGTTTTAAATTCAAACATATCTAACTCACCTTACTTTTAATATATTATTTAAATGTCACCCTATAATGTTGTATCATGAGAATGTCCAGCTCACTACCAAATCATTGTACTATATAATTTTAGGATATGACCATAATCTGCTTTCAGCAAAAATAATAACTAATCTTTCCCTTGCTTCTCCTCAAAAGTAGACCTTTCTCCAATATGCTGATGAGATTTTTTTTAAAAATTATTTAAATATAAGAGAGTGTTGAACTCATTTTACACATTAAGTAAAATTGACGTAATGTAGCCACTGTCCTCATTAGAGTCTACTGCCCAATGACCCAAGTTATTGATGGTGCCAGTGCCTGAACAAGGATGCTACCACACAACCAATGAAATAAAATTGTGTCTCTCGTTTAGACAAATCAAAATTGCTTTAGAGCAGGAGCAGCAACATTTTCTCTCGCATTAGAGCTGCTGGTTTCTTTCACATAAAGCCTTTCATTACTGCATACAGTAGGTCCTCAGGTTACGTCAGAGATCCGTTCCTACCGTGTGACGTAACACGATTTTCCCCATAAGTCAGAACCCAACTGCATAAGCACCTACGTCACTCACATGGAGCACATACACAGCAGTAATGAAGTGAAATAGTAAAAAAATTAAAAAATAACAATTCCTGACCTTTACTTGTGGTAAATAACAAAAACCATAAAGCACGTATGTACACATGTCAAAATGATGGAGCTTTTTTTATATATAAATAAATGGGAGTTGGTGATGTAACCATGAAATGACCTAGGTCAAGTTTAGTATAACCCAAGGACTGTCTGTAATGGCTTTTATGGTACCTACCACAACTTCTGCATGGAAGGAGAAACCACTGAAATGATCCAGTCTCTCAGAAAAGCATAACAGTTTTATTTCAATATACTGTTTATTCAAAACATATAACAGATTATCAGCTTGGAAGGCATCAACTTCCTTCAAGCAGGAAATCCATTGAAAAGTAAGATGGTTAACTACACACTTTTAGAAACCACATATATATTATCACAACATAATAAAAGCTCAAAGCAACATTACACACAGGATAGGGTCAAAGCACGTTTCCATAAAAAATAAAGTCTGACTTGACTACCACACTCAAGTCTCTCCTTGAAGCCAACTTATTTTATTTAGATGATCACTTGTTAGTTCTATGACCTTCAAATGATGTGTTGCATATAGATCCAGTCACATTCATATATAAATCACATTAGGTTTCTATAGTTGTTCTTTCTCTTCCTTCCCCATAGTATTGTTTCTTGTAGGAGTTTTGTATAGTTACTCCAAAGTTAGGTTTACACTCCTTAAAATTTACCAGCTAAGGTAGTGCCAGATACACATTTCTTTCTAAAACATATATCTCATGGTAATCCCATATTGGTTCCATTAGGCAAAGTTAATGGAATAATATACGTTAATTGGCTTAGATCTAAACACATGCAATTAAAAAGTGACTACACAATAATTTTCAACTCTTGTTGGATGTACCATCCACAATTTGCATGTCTCATTGAGCCATATATATTAACTAATTAATATATGTTTATTCCCTTAGAAATATAAGTGCTTTAGATGATCCATTTTCTTTGACAATGCAAGGCTAAGTACTGCAGCCTTTTTATTGGAATTTGGCTAGCACAGCACCACGTTTGTATAGCACAGGGGACAGAACAATGATACCACTATATAACTTAGGGACCTCATGAGGGGATAAAGAAAGGACATTTATTTTTAAAACATCTGCTCTCAACTGTGTTGGCTTTCCTTGACTTGCTCCAGCTAAGCACTGCTCGCTCGCTCGCTCTCTCTCTCTCTCTCTCTCTCTCTCTCTCTCTCTCTGAAGGAAATGTATTTTTTCTCCATTTCATGATGAATGGCTGATAGCAGCACCTAATTATTGCTGACTTGAAGATAAACGATTTCAAATTAAATGTCAAGTGATGCAAAACTTTTCTTAGCAGTGATCTTTTACAGGTTCCTCTTGAAGAACTGAGACCTGGGATTCATTTGGACATTTTTATTGTTAATTTGGGAATTTTTCCTTATAACAGTAATTTATTTTTCTAGATAAATAGAAAAGAGGAGACTGGCAAACACTATTCCTTAGGCAATTAGTCTGTCTCGCCCACTTTTCTTTGTGCCTGCCACAATGTAGTCAGAAAGTGTATTTGATTTTGATCTTGTTTGACTCTTACATCTTGGAGTTAACTTATGATTGAATCAGCTGAGCTAAGTATCTGAATCATCTGAAAACCAATTTCAGTGTCTAATTCCTTAATGTTTTCTCTTCTGCTGTTGCAGAAAGCACCATGGCTTTTATGCCATAAGGTGGTTTTTTTTTCATGAATACCCCTAATCAGATTCTAATCATGTTGGTTAAAAGGACTCACAATCTACCTCTACCTCTTACTCTCCAGTTAATCTTGGGCAGGTGTCTCTGTCTCTGAGCATCTATGCTTACCTGTCAAAGAAGCTACCTTACCATCCAACAGAGTTGTTTTGTGATTTAAAAAAAAAAAAAAAAAAAAAGGACTGTGGAAAATGTATAATGTTAGCTAAATACTAGTAGAGATGTTGATTATGATCTGATACGTATCATCCAAGTCATAATCTCCACTAGATCTCCATTAGTAGTTAGTA